TTATCACCAAATATGCTTTCTTCAAAAAAAATAAAAACATAACATTACCAATAGTACCTCAAAAATCATAATTCGAAATATTGAGAATGACACTGTATAGTTCTCGTTAGTAGATGAAATCATCACTAAATAAATATTAACTTTTATCTTGTACATGTCAAAAGGAAAACTTCAATATAATTCTCATGTGATAATACTTCACCAGATTCAAACACAATTCGATAACGTAAAGGCAAGCAAAAATGTCGTACTTCCAAACTATATCATAATTGTGCATAAGATCTGTTTAGTTATTTCAAGTCTCCTATCGATCTGTACATTAGCCGGAGTGCAATTTGCATAAGTCTATCTGACAATAAAGCTCAAATACTTCATCATACTTCGACTTTGAAAGTACAATGAAGTATTTGAACTTTAGGATGAAGCTGGACTTCGGCTAATATATCGTAACATAGGTCAACAGAACATTTGAAATAGTTAAACAGATCTGAGGTACAGTTATGATTATTTTGATTTATATTTTTTGGATCGTTTACTTCTTGCCAATCAGTACATTCTAATGATAAATTTGTTTTTGTTTTTTTCGTCAATGAATAGATAAAATAAAATTTTTAATATATCTTGTAGAGATTTTCACACATTCATATCTTATGATATATTTTGTTTTTAAAATAAACATAAAAGAGCATAACAAAACTGACCATTCACTACAAGAGTAATCCGTTTACTAATTTCTCTAAATACTTTGAACAATCGAAAGATTATTATATTTATCGTTTTGTCATATCGAATATTTTTCGTTATTCTTTTGAATTCTATTATACTTTGTTTTCTATATGAAAACAATTCAACATTAAAACAATTTAGAATATAAATCAGACTTGAAACCGGTCTGATCTTTTTAGACCGGACCGAACCGGCCGGTCCAAACTCTTGCCTGGACCGATGAAAAACCGGTCGGCTCAAGTTTATGACTTGACCGGCGAAAAAACTGCTAGTCCAAATTCTTGATTTACCTGACGAAAAAAGCAGTGCACTCATGTATTAGCTAAACAACCGATGTTTTCGCGAAACAGTTTGTTAATTTAGCTCTACTAAGACATATAATATCAAACTCATACAATTGTTGAAGCTTCTAATAGCAGCGACTTCTTTTTTAGTCTGTCATGTTTAGTATGCTAATATTCAGAACCAATGAAGATATCTTTCAAAAAGTTTTGACTAGGATTGAACACCAGCTAACTATTCTTTACGCACAGCTGAAATATATTTCACTTCACAGAAGAATGCTACTGTAGAGAGAAAGATAATGTGAGCTAATCGGTAAGATTTATACATTAGACTTCCTATTTGAGGTTTATTGATACCTAAATATTAACGCTGTTGCATGATGCTACTAGTTAGAAAGATCGTGATAACAGAAAAGATTTTATTCAAAACATTTTGCTATGAAAGCATAAACTTGAATACTGGCGGCTATTGGGCTTCTATGAAAATCAGTTAAGATTACTGCATACGAATGATCCAAAATTTCAAGAAAAATGTTGAATTTAAATCGACAGCAGCTTGTAAAATCGAGTTAACTTGTCGGGAGTATAATGAATTCATTCGCCATAATATGAGCCTCTGATGAAAGGATAAGAAAGTGTTAGTGAATATTTAGAGCTAGTATTTCCAATACGATTGAAATTTTGCCAGTGAGAAATTTTCCGGATTAAATCTCTTGACTATTGACCTCATGAAAATCCTTAAAAATGAGCAAAACAAGCAAGTTTTAGTTGCCAAAAATTTTTAAAAAAATCGGTGAAGACCGGCCGGTCCGATTCCAAGTATGATATAAATATCGATTACTGATCAAATAAAAATTAAAATATCTCATATCAACGTGAAAATATTGTAAAATTTCCATTTTGGGGTAGAATTCATATTATGTTTTTTTTCGAATCCTTCAGCAATGGAAAAAAAAACACTGATGTTAAACTGCAGATTTTGTTTTTTGCCTAGAGAAAAATTTATATTCAAGTTATTAGCAATGCATTTATAAATTTGAGGAAATAATCAAAATTAATGTTTCTAAACTTCTCAAGTCAAATATAAGTCAATGAAACTTATTGCAAAACAACAAAAAACAAATGTTCTTTAATATAATTTCATTGAAGAACTAAAAAATTTTATATCACTACTTCATGTATTTTGTTACTTTATATAGAAAGAAATAGAACAAAAAAAAAAAAAGAAAGTAATCAGAGGAGAGTGGACAGGATAGGGTATGATCAAAGAAGTTAAACGATATAAGAATATATATTCATTATCGTTTTAAGGATAATATAAAAAGTTTTATTGTTTTTGTGCACCAACAGCATCTTCATATTTTGAACCAGGAAAATCTTCATGTCCAATAAGATGATATGGAGGTTTTGTTAATGCATTAGAATCAGCTACAACAACTAATCGAAAGTATGCCGCGGCCAATGTTAAAGCAAGAATACCCGTAATAAGTACTTTATTATAATATGCTTGTTTTTGTCCATTTATTTCTTGCCAATTACCTTCAGGTTTAGGTAACCAATCAAGTGTTGATTTATTTCGCCATAAACGTTCATACATCATTTGATATGTATCATGATGACCATGATGATCAACTTCACCATGATGACTACCATGTTGTACTTCACTACCACCATGACTTGCATATCGATGAGAATCAATCATACGAATATTATTTGTTAGAAGAACACGTTTTGCAACAGTTGTTGCATTTGAATTGATCACGCGTGCTAACATGTCTTATTGAGAATTAAATAAATCTAAAAATTTAAAAATAAAAAATAAAAAAACGGTTCTTTTTTTTTTTTATTCATATGTCTTGTTTTTATGTGTGGTCGCTTGTAAACAATATGGTAATTCAATAAACCAATAGAATTTAAAAGAATCAGGATAGAGAGCGCTCTATACACACTCACTAACTACATCATATTCTTGCTTGTTTACTTGTATATTTATATATATAGATTTTTTTCATTGCTTGATTTATATTCTCCATTCATCATTTATTAAAATACGTGGCGAACTCTATCATTTCATTTATAAACAACATTCTTGAGTAATATATAATAGATAAAAGATTTCCTTTTCAAATACAAAAAAAAAAAAAAGTGTTTTTTCTTTTTGTTATGTTTTTCATAACTTATGTTGGTTATGTGACATTATTATCGTTCATTGTTGTAATGACATTTGTCAGCTGGTTATAGAGATATGGCCATATATATATATATATATTTCTTTTCTCTATCTCTCTCTTTCTCTAACAAACTAGAACTATATTTCTTTTCTTTCATCTATACAAATTTAGATTTTTCTAGGATTTTGTAATTTACGATAAACAAAAAACCAAAATTGATGTATTAATATTCCATTAAAATAATCATGTCGAATTCAAGTACAAGTCAAAGACGTTTATTTAAAGATTTACAAAAAATTCGTTCCGAAGAATTACCAGGTTTATTTATCTTAATATCAAAAAAAAAAACCCATATTTATATATTTTTTTTATTATTAAGGTATTAATGCCACACCTATTGATAATAATATGCATATATGGAATGCTTTAATTGATGGACCAGCTGATACATGTTATGAAGATGGATTATTTACATTAAGAATGGAATTTGCAGGTATTTTTATAAAGAAATGAAATACAAAAAAGTTTTCTTTCATTCATATAGATACATATCCATTAACACCACCTAATGTACGATTTACATGTAAAATGTTTCATCCAAATGGTATGTTAAATAAAATAATATTGTAATCTCATATATTAATTACTTAGGACAAACCAAAAGGTTCGTAGAACCTTATTCAGAAATAAAAAAAACTAAATATATCATGTTGTAGAGCTTTTTGAGATACATCGAATCTCAAAAAGCTCTACAACATGGTATATTTGGTTTTTCATTTCTGAATAAGGTTCTACGAACTTTTGATTTGCCCTAAGTATATATGAAATATCATAGTTTATGCTGATGGTAGTATATGTTTGGATATATTACAAAGAAATTGGAGTCCAACATATGATGTATGTGCTATATTAACATCCATACGTTCATTATTAAATGATCCAAATCCAAATTCACCAGCTAATAATGAAGCAGCTAAATTATTTGTAGAAAATCGTCGTTTATATGAAACAAAAGTTCGTAAATTAGTTGAAGAATCTATTATATCAGAACAAATAAATAATGATTTAAAATTAGTTAATGAACAAATGGATATAAGTGATAAATTATCTTGATTATACAAATTTTATATAAGGAAGAACAGCATCTAATGAATGAAAATTTTTCTTTTTCGTTTTTTTTCATTTAGTATATTTAACAAGTCGTTTTTTTCTTTTGTTATTAAACGTTTTTTTTTTTTTTTTTGCTCTTCATTAATAATAATATATATATATACAAAATAATCATTTTTTGTTCTAGATGTAAAAAACGTGCGAGCGTGCTCATCTTAAGCACTGCCCGCTCGTTGATTACAAATTAACGTCATTTTTTTTCTTTTTGTTTTTTTTTCATCAACAAAATATATTAATAATAAAACACAATATTCGAACATTTTTTAATAATGCCGACACGTTTAAATTATAATCAATCATCATTAAATCATCCAATCATAAATCCTAATAATAATAATAATAATAATTTAAATCAATTATCAATAATTAATACAAATACTGATATGATGTCTTATATAGGAAAAATATTAATTATAAATCAATATCAAGTTATTGTTGAAGATATACTTGGACAAGGTGGTTTTGCATTTGTTTTTCTTGTACGTTCATTAAATCAACAACGTTATGCACTTAAACGAATGTATGTTAATAATGAACGTGATTTAATTGTATGTCAACGTGAAATATCTATATTAAAAGAATTATCATCATATACAAATATTGTTAAATATGTTGATTCATCTATACAACGTTTATCATCATCAACACAAACAAATATACAACGAAAATATTTATCATCTAATGATAATAATAATGATGATGATGATAATGATGATGATGATTATGATTATGAACAAGATGCTATTTATGAAATACTTTTATTAACAGAATATTGTTCAAATGGAACATTAGTTGTAAGTTATATATTAAATGAAAACGAAAAATTGAAACTTCTGTTCGTTCTCAACAAAAAAAATGATTTTAGACTTGAATGAAATTTTTTTTTGGTCTATACTAATATTGTTTTGATATGTTACCGTAGGACTATACCTATATGATTATATTCGATATTGCATTTAATCTATTTTCAAGGTTATTCAATCGTTTTTTTTTTAATTCATAGAAGTGGAATTTTATATTAATGTTTGTTATTGAAGTTAGGTAGATCATTTCTTATTTATCATTAATATTAAATTTTTTCATTTCAAATAATGCGGCAAATTATTTATATTAAAGTATATAAGTAACTATGAAGCCATTATTGATCAATTAAGAGTCAAATTAATATATATGTATTTTAGATGAGAAGTTCAAATAGTATTTATTATAAATTTAATAGCCCAAAGCAATGTACATGTCAAAAACACATTTACTTTTTTTGACATTAATTTTTATCGATTCATTCCTTTCGTTTTTCTATCATTAGAATACCATAGGATTGATATTACTTTTGCGCATTTGATAATATAATTAAAGAAAATAAGTTAATGTATTGGACCAATCAAATGATTTTATAGACATTTAATTGATCAGACTACATAATTAGCATATTAGACAGACTAATATTCTAATTAATATAATTTGTTTTGTATAGAAAAAATTTTTAGAAAATTATAATTTCTTCTACGACATTATCCTTCTTGTTTTCCTTATTTCCATACAATTCTTGTTTATATTATGACCTTTTCAGAAGATATTTAAACAACAAAGGTCACAAAATAGTTTCATTTATTCTTTAAGGACTCTGATCTTACAGATTTAATTTTATATAATTAAAAGAGAGTAGGTCAGATTGTACTGTAGTTTGATATACTCTTTCAAATAATATAACTAAGCAATTATATATAATGAGATTCCTTTGAGAATTCTAGGATGTGCAATCGGAACAAAATAAGTAGTTTTTCTAAAGGAAAAGAAAAAAGCATATTATTCAAGAAGAAAATAACGGAAATTATCAAAAATTTTGATATAAAAACAAAAATGAGATAATATTGTTTATAAAAAGAACAAATTTTCAGTCTATTATTTCCATTTCAATTATTCTGATGAAATAATAATTTTCGTATATATATATAAAATTGTTTTCATGTTGACTTATCTTTGTTCAATCTATTTTGATTCAACTTTCAATGATTAAAATCTTCTTATACATAATAGATATAGTTCCTAGGGGAAAAAAAATAAATATTTAAATCAAATGATCAGATATTTTTCAAGAATACGATGTATTGAACAAAAGAAAAAAAAAATTGTGATCTATTATGATCAAATAATGGATTCTCTTAAGTCGAATAGAGATTGAGATTACTTATTTGATATCCAACATTGTTTTAATAGTGATAATAAAGCTGTCGTTTAATTCTTTTGAATTGTTTTCTTAAATTCTTATGTATTTCTTTTAGACTCGTCTTAATGAACAACGTAATAATGGTATAACATTAACGGAACGTCAAATTTTACGTATATTTGCTGATATATGTAATGCTGTAAGTGCATGTCATTATCGTCGTCCACAACCAATATTACATCGTGATATTAAATTAGAAAATATTCTTATTGATTCAAATCAATCATTTGTTTTATGTGATTTTGGTTCTGCTATAATGTTATCATCTTCAACAACAAATAATTATTATCAACAATATCAAACAAATCAATTAACAACAACAATAATACAACAACTTGAAGAAGAAATTCAACGTTATACAACATTATCATATCGTGCACCAGAAATGATCGATCTTTATAGTCGTTTACCAATAACATTAAAAGTTGATATATGGGCAATGGGTTGTCTATTATATAAACTTATGTATAATATAATGCCATTTGGTGATAGTATTTTAGCAATACAAAATGGAATATTTATTATACCAGATGATATGTCACAAGTTTATAGTCGAGATTTAAATAAACTTGTTCGATTTATGTTAGAAATTGATATTAATAAACGACCAGATATTTGGCAGGTAACAAATATATTTCTTATTGTTGTATGAAATCAATATTTATTTGTATCATATCGAATTATTTTTCTTTTTGAATTATCTCTCTTTAATTATATTCTGACTAGTAAGAGCCCGTGCATATTGCACGGCTGTTTTCTCCTTTAACGTATGATCTAAGACGTTTAACTTTTCATTCAGAAACAGACAGACATACAGACACTCGATATTATGTATATAGATAGATAGCCTTACGGCCTCATACTCTTATTTCGCACATATTTTTATAGTCCATGTAGCCTTCGGCCTTATCCCCTTATTGCCTTAGTCTCTTGAGAACCTATGGATACCCCTATATTATAGCTCTTCATGTCCTATAGATATATCATATAATAGCTCTTGAGGACTTATAGGTACCCCCATATAATAGCTCTTGAGGATCTTCCCCTTATACTCTGATTTGATCTTTGACCCGGCACAGAGAAACACACTGAACATTATATACAGGGTGGCGCAAAAGTCACTTTACCGAAAAAAAATTGAAAATCTCCATTACTCTTCTAGCAAACGAGCTTATTTTTTTATTAATGATAGAGTCATGTCTAAAC